TGAAGGGCTGGGAGGAATGGCTCTGATTGCCAGACAGTGAGACTCCATTCTTTTCATCCTTATTATCCCTAATCACTCTGACAACTACACACAAAGAACCCTTTAGAATCTTGAGCTTATAAACAAGTTGTTGCAGCAGAAACAGTGGCAGTGAAGTCTGATGTTCTACAGATCTGGTTTTGTCCTTAAACAGTGCCATTCTCTTCACTGCAATATCCCAGCTCTTCAGTCTATAGATGAGAGCGATAGAACCACTCCTGAGTTACACGAGTTTAGCCCCTGCTTGGCTGCTGCTAAAGCTGCAGGACGCTGGTTGCACTCTGCCTACTCTTCTTCCAGTGGTTCTCTCCTTCACTTGGCTTCTGAGTTTAAGTATATTATAAGATCAGGTATAGCTGCAACACAATCTCCTTTTCAGATTTGGACTAATTGAGCAACAGGTCCAAAAGTTGTTAGGGAGACTGCCTGTGCTAAAAATAGTGTTTAATCATTGAAATGTGTGGTATTTTTTTATATGACTTTTTTTTTTAAAGTAGCTATGCACTGAAATAATTAATTGAAAGAAGATGCAATTAGAGTCAATTTGATTTTCTTCCTCTTTAGTCACAGCTTGTTGAACAATGCTAATTGCTACTGACTCACCTGTTTTGTGACTGATGGATAACTCTACATGGAAACATGCTCTTTGACTTGTCTCAATGGATTATTTTGCACTGGCTACTGATCATGAGCTCAGTTCTTCACTATCCTGTATCTTCTGCACCACAGCTACAGCTGGAATAACTGGCTGGGCAGAGAAACAGGTGTGATGAAGAAACACCAGCTATGCATTGTTACTGTTTGATTTAGAAGCATGCTACACTTACTTTATACTGATGGTAATTCTCATAAAGGAATCCAGGCATTTAAGAGCAGACTGCACACATTAATTTTTTGGCTAAGCAAGGAGTAGGTAGAAGTGATAGAGGGGTGACCTCGTGGGTGGTGTACTAGCTGTCTAAGTTAAAGCACAATAGATTAATATAAATGCTTACCACATAGGTTAAAAACAGGCAAACAACTAATACTTAACTTTCCAAATGAAGATAGCAAGAAATAAATTTGCTTGTCTAACTCCATGTCTGACACAACCCCATTAATGAAAAGACAGTGCTGCAAATTGGGAGCTGTTTTTTCATTATTAGTTGTACCAGCACGACTAACTGGCCTGTATTTTCTTATACTTGGTGCAAAGGCAGGCAAGCCATCAGATAAAATCACGTTTCTAAATGAAAGAGGGAAAACCTCTTCTGACATGCAATTCTCAGTACTGTCAACTGCAACTCTGCAGCAATTACCTGTCATTTTAGGCTCCAGCCTTCTGTAAGGTTAGTCCATAATTCTGACAGTCTGCTTGGGACTAATACAGTAGGGACCACCTTTATTAAGTGCTCTGCTAATGGCATTGCACTGAACCAAAATACCACATTCACATTCAATGTGCATGCAATTTACATGAGGATGGTCCTCAGCTGCTCCTGCTGAAGTTTCCCTTCATTGTTAGCAACCAGTTTTTCCTCTTCCAAATAATATAGTGAGCATTCTATAATAGTTACCTGTCAGATCTTATAGATGAGTTCTTACATGAGAATTCTCCCACGTGAAACAGCTGTGTTTGTGCTGGATGCTTGGTCAAGTTGCAAGAGTAGCACAGACATAGCTTAATTCTATGCAACTCCAATCGTTCACATGCTCTTTATTTGACAAAAATTCTTTCAAAAATAGATTTGGTAGGAAATTGGTAATGAAAGGGAACAGTTATTTAAAGAATTTCATGTGAAGAGGCAGCTGCTGCTAGTCTGGACAGCAACCCTGGCTCCAGGGGGTACCACAACTTGGGTCATCACTTCCTCAATGTTGCTGAAGGACCAAATGTTAGGCCTTTAGGCAATCTAGACTTTTAACATGTAAATCCTTTTCTGGAGCCGAAATACGGACTAGCTTGTCCCATAAAGTAACAGCTGTGGGCACTGATCTCACTTGGAGATTGTTCAGAGAGCAACTGCATATAAAAATGAGAGACAGTAACACCTAAATGCTTTGGCTGAATTAAATATAAAATAAGATGATAGACTAAACAAATATAACTAAAATAGCAAGCCTTTCTGGTAGGAGGAAGCTCTTTCAAAAATACTTAAGGAGAACAACAGTAATTGAAACTACCATTACCAGGAGTTAAAAGGGGAGGTTATTTTTAAAACAAGCTCAGAAACAGGAAAGAAAGTTGCTAGTTGGATTAATGTGAGGAGGCTGATGCAATTTTAATCAAGGAAGGATCACATTCCAGCTGTGGATATCGGGATTGTTTTTCCATGTGGGGAGATAGCAAAAAGTTGCATAAATACGGTAAAAACATGTCAGTTGTACAGGGACCTTGCTTGGTTCTTTCTCTGGGAAACAGTGAAAAATAACCTGTTTAGTATTTTCTAGGGAGAGTACCCTACACTTGGAAGTGTTTAAAAATATGAAAAACTCCACAATGGTGTTTTTCAGATGCCTATGACAGAACATTAATTTGGGAATGTTAATATATATGTTGCCTGCCAGTAGCTGTAAAGTACGTTACCTTTTTGTGTAATGAGTGAACTGTAGCACGAACACAGCAAGTAGGTCATCATGCTGCTCTTACAGATGAAACTCACAATACTCAACTACCTCTAATACTTAATTTTGTATTGCACTTCCCAGTCGCTAAAAGCTAATGGCTCTGTGTCACGTATAAACAATTCCATTTGAAAGTCAAAATGTTAGGAACATGTCAGTGCTGCACACAACTCTGCATTTAAGCAATCCCTCTAAAGGAACCGTCGTTGGCTGGAGACGATTGTTATAAAACACTTTCCTCAAACGTTTTATCCTATCAAGCTGCCTTCTAAGGTACAAGCAGGTGTGCTTTACCCTTGCTCCTGGCTCTGCTACACAGTGGAAGGGCATCCTGTGGCCACTGTTGCCTTCTACTGGCAGAGCTCTGCACAGTTAGGCCTGGCATGGCACATGCCTTAGCTACAACATTACTGTGCCCAGTTAATACATAGTTATTGTTTTATTAATTTGCTCTGCACAAAGAGGTTTTGAATTATTGCAATTAACTTTTCACAGAGCTGTGATGTCTGATCTTACAGTTCAGCTGGGAGAGCAGTCACCAGTGAGAAGTCAGATAGGCCAGTTTGCTCAGTGTGCATTCATTTTAGCTTCATTCCCATTACACATACCAATGTTAATTTGGTGTAATTCATACCTTTTAATACTGTGTTCACATTTTTAAATTCCTCAGCATAGGAACTCTGTGGAAAACAGCCTATATGACAACCGTCCTGGACTCCTCTATACCTGAGCACAAATTGGCATCCTGCTCTGTGAAATTATTTAAGAAGGTAATCAGCTGACAAGAGTAGGCAGTGTAAAAATCTGTCAAGGGGCAGGACTAGTGTCCGGCAGAACAGGGCACAAAGAAGACCAAAAAACTCAGGATAAATTAGGGAAACAGGAACCCTCCACCCCCACTATCAGAGCTGGGATTAAGTGTAGAGCAGGAATCCCTCCACACAGCCTCTCAACCTCTGGCCTTCACAGCACAATGAGCTACTGAGTCATGCAGCAATTTGCTCATCTGGCAGTTACACATTCGGATTCCTTCCACTCACCTTCTGAGATTGTGTCACTGACTTCTTACTCCTCTAAAGCAGCACGGACCTCCTGCTGTCTTCTGAGAACCACCGTGTTTCCAGTGAAGAGGGACCTTTACAGACTTAAAGGCAGTACATAAAAAAAAAAATCTTGCTCTTTATCACATTATCCTGAGCCACTCACTGTACACATTTGCTCTCCCTTGTGCTAAGTAAGTTGAGGGGTATACATGGCATAGGAAGCAAAAGACATTAGACATATCACTGGGCAATTTTCCACATAATTAAATCTCTTCATAAATATCTTCAATAAACATGAACTTAAATGCTATATTAAAAGCATTACAATATTCTCTCTCTATATATTATCACAGAGACATACTAACAAGTACAGTAATTAGTTCTTTAAACACAATGGAAATCCCCAGGTTTATTTCTTTTCAAAAGGCAAACCCTCAACTGATTTGTGAAGATTCCTATATGATTCGTATTTGTTTTATGACAACTGTTGCCTCTATTTCCTGCTGAAGTTATCAGAATGATTTCATGCATCCCATTTATAAGAGCTCCCTCATCATCTTTTAATGCTGCGCCAGAGCCTCTTGACAATGGTGTTTTGTAGGCTTTACTTTGGTGAGTGTATGAAAGCAATTCCAGCTCAGTGCATTGCTAAACTCAGACAGATCCTTGTTAAAAAAAAGAAAAACAAAACAAAAAAGGAAAAAAAAGAAAAACGCTTTACCCCTTTTCCTTTTAATAGCAATAAAAAACATACATTCCTACAATAAATAAGCAAACAGATTTAGTCTACTGTAATGGTAGAAGTCTGAAACGTTCAGGTTCCTTGGCAAAATCAAGAGCTGCAGCTTTCTCCTTAGGAGAACCACTATACAAGATACACTGTGCACTTCCAGAAGAGGTTATTTGGTGGTGCTTTGGTGACTGACAGTTTAGCCCAAAACATCTGAACAAATATCTATCTCTAAGAAAGTCTGTCCACCTACACAGAAAAAAGACAGCTTTTCCAACGCAGGTTAAGCTGGACATTCAGGAATTATTAACATGTAAAATTTTAATATTGAAATCCTAGGAAATTGCCTTTTTTAAGAAATAAAATATTTTAATTTGTATAGAGAGAACTTGTACTTCTGACACTTCCTGTTACAAACGGTTTCATACAAGAAGTAATATAAAATAATGCAGTGATGAACTCAGCAAAGACACACTTAGATCTGCCCAAAAAGTACTGGAGTCTGCAGTGTGGGTAACAATCTTTGAGTTAAAACAAAGGAAAATACTGTTTGCATCTCATAGAAAAGAGAAGAAAACCAACACTACATTCCTAATACTTACGTTTATTATGAAAGTGTCTCCAAATAAAATAGCCCACAATACTGGTTAGTTCCAGAGATTTTATGAGGAATAATTATTTTCCATAAAAAAAATCAAACCAACAAACCCAAACCCAGTCAAATTAAACACAAAATAACTCCAAAAGTTCTACACAACAGCTGTACATGAAAGGACTTTTAGCTAGTGTATCACTGTATCCAGGACAGTGGAATTCCTACACATCACTGAATTTCTGAAAGAGTTGCTCAAGCACAGGATTGTCATGAAAACACAGGTGAAAGTGTGTCATCTGCCTCACCCTGACTTGCAACAGTCAACATGCACAGTATGGTATAAGAGCTCGTGTATAAAATTAAACCCCAGAACTGCAAGAAGCTGAAGCTCCAGAGAAGCCAGAAAATGCGTATTGTTGCACAGATAATTTTAAGCCAGGTAAGACAATCGTTTTTGCCATCTGTCTGACATGTGTGATCACTGACATTGCTCCAAAACACCATTTCATAGTATTTCCTCCTGTTTTTTAATTGAAAGCAATTTTAAAGACTGAGAATTCTGTACAGAGACACTCAAACACTGTGTTTTCATTGCAACTACAATCAGAAATCTTTACAATTTAAAGGCTATACACGCACACCACCTTTCCAAAGTTCCACTAGTGCTTTTTAAAAGGAAAAGAAAAAAAGAGTAACATCATCTTACTGAAGTTCCCATTAGGTCCCTGTTCGAAATCAAAACCAGTCAAAGCAAGTAATACAAACTGGTTTTGCTTCATGGTTTAAAGGCAACTGTAGTTTGCAGAATACTGAAGTTAGGCCTAATAGGGTCTACATTACAGGAAGGGTAAAAATTATTCAGTAGCTCCTCTCCCCCAAATGTCACAGGAAGTAGACAATAGGAGACATATAAAAATGAGTTGTAGCAAAGAGATTAAAAAAATACCAAAGCATCAACTGTAGAAAACCAATTTCTCTAAGATACAGAAGGCTGTGATAATGGGAGGATGAATGAAACAGGCATTAGGCTTCCTACTAGAGCACTGCATAAAACACACACAGTGACTAAATCAACCAGCATTGATCACCACTGACATGTGCTGCAGAGGAACGGCTGTTGCCATCATGTCCTGTTCAGAACCAGAAAGTGATTTTCACCTGAAACAGATACAGATTTAAGACAAGAATCACTTCACTGTAAGCAAAGCTTTAGTGCATGTACTTGGGTCTCAGAAAAAGCATTTGATATTGGCAACCATGTGGTCACAGAACAGTCACAGGCTGAGACAGGAGCACATGAAGCTGTGACACCTGTACCAATTCTGCTGGAATCATTAAATAAATAACACATAGAAAAAACTACAAAAGGGCAACAAGGAAACAGCATGAGACGCTTTGGTATTTTAAAACTAGCACTATTTAACACTGATCCAAGACCCAAAAGACTCCGGTGTCCACCCTTGTTGTTTGTCCAGATATTTCCCATTTTCTGCAATTTGGTTTTAATAAGAAAAAAAACACCAACCCATCATATATTTTTCTTTTGGTACAAAATATGCCAATATGGGAAACAGTAAAATAAAGGGTGACCTGAATTTTATTTTACTATATTCTGGGCTGTCTAGGAAGAGAAGACAAATTCTTACTATTTACTAATCAACTCTACATATAATTTCCTCATTTTTCTACTTCAACATCTCAACCACTGCATCGTGTACTGTACTATAAAAAGGGAGCATAGAACTTGAAGACAAAGAGGTTATAGAGTACAAACCCTCATTTCTAAAATTACTAAAATGACGATTCTACAAAAGGTATGAACATATAGAACCTTCTAAGGTCTCACATTTACCATGAATCATGCGAATAATTTCAGACAATTTTCTGGAACATGTGCAATTAACCTCTACATATTCGATGGCCTCCAAATGCATCTTGCAAAGCTCTTCATCAGAAAAGCAGACAAATTCAAATAAAAAAGGAAATAATTGCACAGCATTTTCTCTGCAGAGTGGAAGATGCCAAAGTTTTGACAACCATTGGTTAAAGCAATGAATCGAAGCACACTGCTGTGTCTGATCACTAAAACACTTGGTCCTTCCCACTAGAGAAAAAAATGTTTGAATTCCTAATTTTTATTTAAAAACTTCTAGCTTGAAAGATCAGTGACTGTTTAGCAAAGGTTAGTGAAGTTCTCAGTGCTTCCTTACTCTTATCCCATTTCCCCAAATGTGTCATTTGAATCTCTTACCTCATCTATTTTCCAGACATATCTGTTTTAAACTTTTATATTAAACTTATCTGTATTTAACTCCAAAAAGCCAGGTTTATAGGGGATAAGTAAGTCATTTGGAGTTACCTGAACCAAGATAACTGTGTATATGCTTTAGTGTATCATAGATGAAAGTGAATTTCAAACCTCAAAGGAAGAGTTTCAGTCCCAGATGCACTCTTTACCAGTGAGGATCCAAAGGGACCTTGACACTATTGAGAGGTGGGCTGATGAAAACCTCTTCAAGTTCAGTAAATCCAAGTGCAAGGTCGTATATGGGAGTTGTGGCAATCCCAGACACACCTACAGGTTGGGTGGAGAAGTGACTGAGAACAGCCCTGTGGAGAAAGACTCGGGGGTGGTGATTAAAGAAAACTCAACATGAGCTGGCAATGTGTGCTGACAGCCCAGAAATCCAACAGTGTCCTGGGCTGCATCTAAAGGACCATGGCCAGCAGGTTGAAGGAGATGATTCTACCCCTCTGCTCTGCTCTTGTGAGGCCCTACTGGGGTGCTGTGTACAGCCCTGGTGACCCCAGCATAAGAAGGATGTGAAAATGTTGGAGAAAGTCCAGAGGAGGACCACAAAGTTGATAAGAGGGTTGGAGCACCTCCCCTGTGAAGACAGGCTGGGAAAGTTTGGGCTGTTCAGCCTGGAGAAGAGAAGGTTGTGTGGAGACCTCATAGCAACCTTCCAGTATCTGAAGGGGATATGCAGGGAAGCTGGAGAGGGACTCTTATCAGGAACTGTAGTGACAGGACAATGAGTAGTGGATACAAACTGAAAGAGAAAAAATTCAGGCTAGATATTAGGAAGAAATTCTTTACTGTGAGGGTGGTTAGACACTGGAACAAATTGCCCAGGGAGGTTGTGGATGCCCCAGCCCCGGTAGCTGGATGAAGCCAGGCTGGATAAGGCCTTGAGCAACCTGGTCGAGTGTTAGGTGTCCCTGCCCATGGCAAAGAGGGTTGGGACTAGATAATCTTTAAGATCCCTTTCAACCCTTAACATTCTATGATTCTATGATACACTAAAATGATACATAGCCAGTGATGGTAAATCATCTCAAGGGTTGTAGCCTTGACGGTAAATCTGAATCAACACTACAGAGCATTGCTGGGGAGGGCCAACAGAGACTGAAGGCCTCTTGCACAAGGATTGTTGTTGGGAACTGCTCTCTGTTCTGGCATCAGCAACATGGCAGTATGTTGTCTATTGCGCATGTTGATGGTTCAGAGCAATATTCTCATGTAAGACAAAGTATTTTGCCATAATGCCATTTTTGTAACCATCTTTGCAGAAGGGAAACGGTTCAGTGGAGGTAATAATCAACACCATGGAAGGGATGTGTTTAAACTGATATTCTCAATTACCATAGCAGCAGGTCATATTTCACAAATTATAATGTTCATTAAATATATCCCAGGATGATTTTATTTCAAAATCTTGGTATCATTTTGACAGTAATTACTACACAGCTGTGACTTCAAACAGCATAGGTGGGCTACTTTCTATTGCAATTGGTATATTTTCAGATGTATAACCTGCCCTGCCAGTTACGAAATCAAATGCACAGGAGAAGAGAAAAATTAGAGGCAGAAAAACTTTTGGAGGAGAAAGAGGTTTAAATAAGGCTCTCTTGCTCCCTCAGATATGGACATATAGGCTGCAGCTGCTGAATTACAAGGCTACCTGACTTCTGAAAAAGGTGCTCTGTAAGTAGTAAAACTGATATATCTTCTTCCATGATTTATAATTTTTCAGTTTTCTTACCTTTATTTCAACTATTTTTAGCACAAAAGTAAACACACAAGAGTGTGTTTTTCGTAATACACAAGAGTCTTTATGGATAATAAAGGTTTCAGAAGTTTTCAAGAGTGACCAGTGGAATAGGACAAATCTCAGTTTTCAAAAGAAAGAAGTGACAACACAACTTTCTTTGCTGGAGTCTGTATAAAAGAGAGTCTTTAAACATGTTTTATGGCATCAGAAGCCATGTATATTTTGCTATTTGCATAGGTGGAAGGAATCAGAAAGACTTCCTGGCTCAGAGTTCCAGCTGAACACAGCACTCCAATCCCTTTGAATACAGAAGACACACTTAGGATTTTTTTTTCCTGATTTGTCCCTTCCTTCTTTTTTTTAAACTGTTTTTAAAAATACATATATATGTAAGTCTTTGGTCTACAAGCACATTGGTTCTGTGTGCACACACACAGCACTGTTGAACAGTAGGTTGCATAGAGTCTGCTACCCAAAAACCCTGCCTACTTTTGGCACTGCTGTTACAAATCACAGAAAAGTGTCCTGCAAGAGTTGTATGATCCTTAGCATCCTACATCAAACTTTGATCTAGAGACTGGAAGAAGTATGTATATAATGTTTAAAAAGATGTTTACTTTGGGTGTTACTTTGTCTTCTTTGGGACTTTGTTGCTAAATCCTGGAGAAAAAAGGAGTACAAAATTATTTTACAGACACCCTTAATTTTATTTGTAGAGGTGATGAAATACTGCTGAGCAATCAAAGGTTGCTGTGAATTATGTTAAATGAATTTTGCTCAAGTTTTCACACATTTAAAATAAACTAATTCTAGTAATGTATGGCATTTTGCCTTCTCTTCTTTACCTTACCAAGGGAGTGGCAATAATTTTAAGAAAAATATGTAGACTGAACTGTGTCTGAGGAAGCAATGAGCTTTTCATCTGCTCTTTTTCCCATTACACCCCTGCTCTCAATCATGAGAATAGGCAAGAACAATTTCAGGAGTGAGGTCTGGATTCACAACGATGCACCTGAACAAACACCTTTTTACATGGAATCTCTGCAAAAAGCTGAAATCTGTAGAGGTGAAAAATTGAAAGGCCAAAAAAAAAGTGAGAATGCGTTTACCCTAAATGTTGACATCAATGTGTTTGGGTATTTGCACAACAAATCAAGTCTAATTCTAATGCAATTAACCACCAAATTGAATTTCAAATTATGCTAAAATAACATCCCACAATTACCACGTTTTTTTCCCCAAATTGCTAATTAACCACATTACCTACTATTTAAAATATTGATCCAATGTTTTAAAACTTAATGTTGGCCGAACAGTCACTGTGATTTGATAGGCAATTTCAAAACCAGTACTTTAAAACACAAAGATAGCAAAAATATCTGAAGCAGATCTAAAATCTAAAAAGCTATGCTCTATCTTACTGTAAGTAACAAATTAAGCAACTATTACTTATAGCAGATTCAGCAAAAGCATCAGTGATGGACAGAAGAGATCTGAGCATGATGCTCTCCACCACTGAGAATCCAAGATAGAAAGTTTCAGAATGGATATTCCCTTTTGTCCAGAACTTCCCAAAAGAATACAAAATAAATAATATTTCCAAGACAGTACAAGTGAAAATACTGCTCCCATTGTGTCAGTTACATACACATACAGCATGCCTAAGTATACAGAATGGTGTGCTGTCTTCATTCACAAACAGGAAATATGGCAGTGCGCTATCAGAATGCTTTGATACTCCTATTTTTTTCTGATGCTGAGATACATGAAGAAACTGCATTCACAACTTAATAGTTTACTTCCAGTAGCAAACAGTTCATTCTGTTCGTGTCTCATGATTGAACTCAAGGATTAATGCTCCTCTGAGCAAGTGCCACCAGTAAGATACCCATTTGTCCCATTGGCACCGCTGGTCCCATTACTGGCGATAGTGCTGTGCGGGGCCTTTGAGCGAGGTACTGTTTCTTCCTCATCTGAGCTTGACTCAACGTCACTTCGGGAATCCTTTGCTACCTGTAGAAGTTGAAAAAGAAGCAAGCAGTAGGTGACTGTAAGGAAACAACTCAGCTTTTTCGTTCAAGAGAATCAGAAATTCACACATTTTTCAATTTGAGCTTTGAAGGTAATCTCAGCTCTGGCACACTTCTCTTCCTTTGCCTGTCTGGACTCACTTCAAACACAGATGTCTGTACACACATATGCCATGTACAAAGGGAGTGCTTCTCTTTGACCTGGTAACGCAAAATATTCAACGCAACCTCCTTCCCCTCACCTCCCAGCTCATTCCCTAGAGACCACATGGCTCCAGGGAACAGTTCTATGCACTAGCAGTAGGAGACAGGAGTACTGGCTGAAACATAACTAACCACACCAGGTAACTCCAGTCTCTGACTTCAGACAGATGGTGAGAATAGGGCTTGCAAACTGTGGACACAGTCCAGTTCAGTCCCTAACATAGGAATGACAAACTTACTAGAGCAACTCAACTGTGTGCCCCATCGTGTCACTGGAAAGCTATTTCAGAAACAGGCAGACCTTAGTTGCTACGGATTGTCTGCTAATATCCAGCTGACTTCCTTGAAAATCTCCAAAACTGGTAAGAGTACACCAGATGAAGTACAAAAAAAAAAGCATCAACAGAAAAATGTCTGAAGTTTAACCTGCACCCAGTTTTAAGGATGCAGTTTTCATGCTTGCTTCTACTCCTGTTTGTATAGCTGAGCATCCCAGTTTGTTCAAAATCTCTCCATGCTGTGCTGTTTGCCACACCAGGCAATTACAATTGACTTTACTATAGCGAATGGACATAAAGGGGGCAAAACACATGTCACGTCTTTTTCCTCAAAACCATTTAAGAGCAGGGCAACTGCACATAATTTTTTGCTTACAGTAATCCTCCCCTACTCCAGAAAGTTCTCATGACAATTCCGCTCTCCAGCTCCCATCTCAGAAACAGCCATTTGCCACTGGGGCTCCCATTATTGTCCTTACAATATCATAACACCTGAGTGACAATATTCTGCTTGGGACCAGTGAAAAAAAGAAACACAGATCCCATATACCTCTTAATAAGTACAATTTTTAATGTCAGTGTCTAGCAAGCCCACAATTCTGACACCCATGAATTTAGCAGAGGCCAGAAATTTGGTTCCATGCTTACATAACTTCAATTAACAGATTATTTCAGTGTCTTTCATACAAAGGGAGTTTTATACTAAATCTGTTAGAGGTACAGAAATACACAAAATTATACTGTTATCAAACAGAAAAGAATAGACTCAGCCCAGGATACTGAGCACCTGTGATCAACTCAGGGGCAGACCAGGTGATTGAAAAAATCTACATCAACTTAAATTCTCTTAATATATTAGATTCACTGCTGATTCTTCTGCTAAGGTCGTACCCCAAAGCCAAACAATCAAAAGAAGATTCTATGCTGCAGCCACTTCAGTTAAACATGTGATCTGCTCTACTTTTAAAATGCAGCAAATACCAGGGGCTTTGCACTTAAAACCTGATATGAATGCAACACATCTTGCAGTACTTCGTTCTCTTTGTTTATCCCCAAAAGAACACACTGGAGTAATTTCTGTAGAAGTAGTCTAGAATATATATATATATATATATATACACACACACACACATATATATAGGTTTAGAAAACTTCTAAGTACAATAGTGAGTAACAAATATATGATCAGGATTACATTACAAATTTAATGATAATAAATTCCTTTATCAGCTGAGCTGTTCCAAAGGTGGATACTAGTACTACAAAACCAAAATAATACTTAAGGACGAAAATTTACTGTAAGATACCTGTAATGTGTTGTGCAAATACTTTTTATTTTACTGCAGAAATGGAAAGGACTGGGTTGCAAGTGAGGAATTAAGATATGAAGGAAGAAGAATCCTCTGTGTATATGTCATACATATGCATCTTTAACCTAGTCACTGTGTTACTGCAAATGTAACTTTGCTCTTGTACAATCCAAATTTTCTCCTGTGCAATTGTTAGAACCACAAGGTACAGGACTTACACTCTCAGGCATGCATCCTGAATGGTGACAGAGCAGCTGCTTATGCTGATGATATATAGACGTGTGTGTGTATTTTGTGTAAAAAAGGTTGCAGTAAAATAGCTCCCAGATACTACAGATAAAAGTGGGTTTGAATGGTTTTAGGCAATGCATACTCAAGAAGTAAATATGACCTTAATTTAAATATATAAATATCAACAATGGAAAAAATACCAATCAGAAGCTACAAATTAAAAAAACAAACCAAAACACAAAAGACCAGCATCGTCAAAATAAATCTTTTGCAAAGTAAATTGAAAGAAACTTACCTGCAAGGGATTCCACTTCCCAGCCTTCCAGCACAGCACAAGGGAAAGGATAAAGAAGCAGAATAAGAGAGAGTAGGAAGCACTCTTTGAAGTCACTGGTGTAATTCAGACAGCTGAGGCTAATAATAGCTAAAAGCAGAGGAGACTGAAGTGTGGCTTCCCAGCAGAATACAGCCCATGAATACACTGTCTTTCACACAGAGTGAGGGCCAGATTCTGGGCTCTGCCCAGTGCAAGGCTGAGCTCTCCAGGACATTCCTAGGAAGCAGTTTTCTGCAGAACAATCCCATTCATTTCAGGGGCAGTCACATGTCTAAAACACTGACTCACGAGTTCTACTCTTTAAGGGCAAAAGGCCCTGTACTTTATGTGATCTGTCAGCATTAGTTCTCCCATCTACACATGAGCACCGTGTCTGCACAGCAAGTGTAATGGGTTGAGCATTTCTGTGAGTGACATCTTCCTGTCAAATGTACCAACAGCAGCAAGACACCACATTTTATCCCAAATGGTCTTGCTGTGAGAATCCTAGAAAGAAAATCCATGGCCCTCTGCAAAAGAGGGATTGTTTATATTGTTTTGTAATTAATATCAAAACAAAAAGAGGCTGTGATCTGTAACTTTCCACTAAGAAAGGCAGCAGAATTTCATTTTGCATTATTACTGCTATCACTTGCAGCTGGGAAATGAACATTTTTCTAACAACTACTCTAAAGGAGAAAAATAAAACTGGCAGCCCCAAGAAAGCAGTTTGCTTTTTTTTTTTTCCTCTTAATAATCTGATTAAGATTGGTTCAGTGTACCAGATTACAAAACAAGAAGCGTGGAAGCACATATAAATGCAATCACTATGAAGAGTATCATTAACTTATCTGAAAATTGTTAGGAGTGGAAAAAAGTTTCTGTGAAAGGAAAGAAGAGTTAACATAAAATAAGATGTGTTATGGATTAGAAAAAAACCAGTAACCAAAAAGTGACCTGTATGGATACTGAAAAAGTTAATATCATGAAACAGAACCATGCTGTCTTACCTTGCCCTTTGAAATAGCTTTGTAGGCTGCCTTTATGATTAGGTAAGACCACAAACAGTGCAGAATTTGAAGAACCATAAGAAGCACATTGAAGACCCACAAGGCAGGAAAATTGCCCAGAGCTTCGTACAGTTCAAATAATGTTGTGTTTAATATCCTAGAAGAGACAGAAAAATAATAACACTTTTCTTAAGCCAATGAATTTCAAAGAAGCCCTTTTTAAATCAAGATGCCAAGTACTTGATTAGAAGGGATCCACATGTGCAAGTTGGTTCTCAAAGTAACACTGGCTTGGACTGAATCCTACAGGTTTCTCCAGAGAGAAACAACATGAGAATGTTGCTTTCAATATTTAACCTAATTTTGCAAGTATTGCATATAGAAAATACAGATCCTCAGTGTACATTTCTCCACTTCACCTACAAAGCTGGCAGCTGTTGGTTGACTCAAATAACTCCTTCCCTGAATTATTACAAAACTTACTTTATCCCATTTTTTAAAAATAAAGCTATTTCATCTCAGCTGCCTCCAGTATGTGTTTGGTACCCCCATATTAGCATATTAGCTCCACATAAGGCTTTATGTTCTTTTTCTTTTAAATTAGTTTTAAATTAACTATCACCCGCTAGTCACTAGATGGCGCGTTTAGCCAAGACAACGCCCGCGCACCAGTGGGATGTGGCACTGAGTGCCATGGTCTCGTCACCACGGCAGTATTGGATCAAGGGTTGGACTTGATGATCTCGGAGGTCTTTTCCAACCCGGCTGATTCTATAATTCTATGATTCTAGGGGATGGCAGTGAGGTCCCACACTTCTCTCAGTGGAGAAGTTACAGATACTGGTCTCAGCTTTTTAATAATAATAATAATAATGGCCAGTCTTCGCGAGCGAAGATCCGGGGAAGGTCTCTACACCTTCCAGCCTGTGCATTGGATTTTTTAGGTGAGACACAGTGTGCGCGGAACTGAGCCCACCCTTTAATCCTAAGGTTCATCTGCCGGGGCCAAGCGAGCTTGGACGGTGGCAGCGAGGTCCTCAGGACGTAGGTGGATTGCCTTTTTAAGGGCTAAAGAGCAAAATCTGCCCGGGGAGTGTCCCTGACCGGGAATCGAACCCGGGCCTCAGCGGTGACAGAGCCGCGCCCTTAACCACTAGACCACCTCTCAGCTTTTTAATAAGCAATCACATTTGCCACAATCCTTTACAACAACATAAAATTAATTAAATTAGTATTAGTAAGAAGTATGTACAGACAACAAACCCAGTATACAACATTTAGTGGTAACGATTTATGTGTATAACAGCATTGATCAAAAATCAACCAGTGATTTTTAATACACTGGCCTTAATACTGTAGGGGCATTTCATAGTAAGTCTACCTTTTTGGTTTTGCCTTCTTATGCTAAACTGCACATATGTTTCATAATTTATTGAAAAGTTGATGTTTTATAACCTTATTATACAGATACATTTTTATATCTTCTGTTTATGGAGGGAACATTAGAAAAAGAAACTCTTTTTTCAGTTTGCAAAGATCCCATCGCATTATTGCTTCTGTCAGATAGAACACTTCAGTCTCAGCTTTGTCTAATTTGTTCTGCCAATAGTAGCCCTACATGGCACAGCAATACCCCACTTTCCTGTTCAAGGAGAGGCTCTCAAGCATATCAAAACAGAACTCTAGTCAGCACTGTTTTACTTCACCAGTGCTTACTGCAGTTCTAACCATTATCTCAAATTCAAACTTGAAATCAACAACTCCTGTACATAAAGTTACCATTGTTTACACCCAATTGTCTTTATGTCTAAAATTTATATGCTCCAGAATTGTAGATGTAGTTTCTACAGGTTTCTGTTTATATTTTCATTCACTGGACCAAATTCATCTCTAGGGACTTCCACAGAAGTCAAGTCAAATAAGCAGTATTAGACATGCAGATGGTCCAGTCTTGCAGAAGTCAGGAAGAAAGCAAGGCCAAAAAGAGCGCTTCTGGTATCCAAAGCAGTTTCGTGTGCAAATGAGTCATCCAGTGTGTATTAGATATGGAAAATAAGCCTTCGTTGAAAAAGCAGATCTCTTTCTAACCTGCTCATGTCTGGCAAACTAAGGACAGGACTGGAATTCTCCATTAAAGCTGCATAAATGACCTCACTAATTACTCAGCAATGTTAAGACAGGTTCAGTGATCTGTTAGGTGTGCAGACAGGGCTAAGGCTATATCTAAGCACCTAGGGCTGAGCAGAAGCTGAGTGAAGAAAACAGAAAATGTCAGAAAAAATGGAGTTAAGCAAATAAACTCTCAGTATAAATCAATTATTTAATATTATAAGTCTGAAATGGGGAAAAAAATCTTAAGTTTATTAGGTAGAATACACAGAGAAATTCTACTTCTAGAGACTGAGGAAGGGGGAGAGGGAAGAAAGGCTTTTCATCAATTCCACTGCTAAAAATATTCAAAGGAAGCATTTTAACTAACCACACAAAAACAGGGACTGGAAAAAGCAGCATGAGAATGGATTACATGGAGGAGAAAGTGCCTATACAATGTATATGCAAATATATCTTATGTTCAAATACTCAGAAAAGCATCAGGCCTTTAAATCTGCAAATATGCTTGCTGGAATTTTTCAAAGCTGTCCAGTGGTTAAATCCTAGCTTTTCAGAATGAATGGTGTAAATTTTGATTCTTGGGTATCTAACTTGAAACAGCTGGACTTGATCTCATAGTGGGAAATTAAGCTACAAATGCTCTACCTTTCCGAAAACTTTGGTCAACATTTCTCATATCTTTTCGATTTGAAACTAAATGTTAGCTTCTGCTTTTGAAAATAGGTTCTGGAGTGTAGTAATTTTTCTGAGGTCCTGGGAGATTTTTTTTGATAGCTGGACAAAACAACATAATCTCATGAAAGGCATTCTTCCCTCATTAAATGCATCCCAAGCAGGGTTGTGCACCTTGTGGGAAGCTCTCAGTTTAGCATTTTGATTTAAGTAGTGTGGCTGATGAAGGCAAATGAAAACAAATTCACCCCTTAAGATCCAATCTACTCTTACAGAAATCTGTAATATTTTTTCAAGAACGCTGCCACAATATCTGAGCCACTGTGTGAGGTAATCCTGTACTTACTTATTACCACTCTAATTGAACACTCAGAATAAAAGAACACATTTTCAACAACTATTAAACAATCAGGAGCAACACCTCAACAGCAACACAGGTTTTTCTTCTACTGTCTAACCCTTTAGCCAGCAAAGCAGTACTTGGGAGGCTCAGCAACGGACCCATTAACAGACCCAGCAACTGACTCATTAAGATTACACTCCCTCCCCTCAACTCAGTGGGCCCAAGTCCAGGCTCTTGCATAACAGTTACTAATTCTTGGCAAGGTGATCTCTTGTCTTGCACCAAGGATGAAAGGAGATGAAAGGAGAACCTGGAGATGAAGGAAGAGAGATAATGAGAGATGGGTGTAAGAGTAAAATGCTTATTTGTATTTGTCTGAGAACTGACAAAAATGTGCTGCGTTTGCTTCTGAAAGGATCCTGAGGTGAATGAAAAGAGACAAGGGGATCATGTGGAAAGAATAGATATTCTTCCACATAAGCAGGAAATTATTAATAAACTCTTCAGAATGAAACATAACAGGATGATGGGCACTATTATCACATCCAATGAGAGCAGAAACTATGCATCTGAAATTAGTGCTACTGCAAGTTGGCTTAACTTCTGCAGCACTGTCCAGTGACCAACATACTGTACGTGAAACACATTGAAGTCATGTTGTTACCTCAGTACAACAGTCGGAAGTCTCAAAGTATGACCAAGGACAGCAGCTCTAAATAATTCAGAACGAATGTCTTTATCTCCTTTACCAAGTGCATATTAAACAACAGTATTCTATATTGCACCATAACCACCCCTACTGGGACATCTTTCAATACTGCATTCACGACAGAGAAAATACATAATTACATCTAGGTGGTCATTAATGACATTCAGATCCTATTTAATGCAAGTAACCCAACAATACTACTGCCAGCAATGCTTCAAAGTTTCTGCTTTTTTAAATTTTTCCTTAAAAAACCCAAAACCAATTGCACTTACTTCAGCCCCAAAAACATACTCATTCGTTCTCTCTTATACATAGTAAATAAATACCAAGACCAAAGAATAAAGAGTCAGAAGTTCTAAATTCTGGATTTAACTGTTACATTAACTTATGTGATCCAAGAAATTTTCAAATTTCCTTACATAGTTCACTTTTTGTTAGTGATGAGCACAAGGCACTGGTACATTCTGTTGGCCACATAAAGATGCTGGGAGAATTATCTTGTTTATAAAACACCACAGACTACTGCTTTAAAAGATGCTCTAAAACTGACACGTAAGAGAAAAATATCACTAAGATTTACAGATAACTGAAGAGGCAGTGGAGTGTGAAAGCACACATATGCGCACATGTTGATCAGCCACAGTATGATAAATCAGCTACATTTCATCAGAAGTCAAGATTTATCTCTGGGATTTAGACCTTGATTGAAATCTAATAGGACTTCATATCCCAGGCTGTCCTAGTTACTTTTAATGGCAATGCTACACAACAGTCCTGACACAGAGATATTTCTGCATGAGAGACTTCAGATGAGTTACACAACTTTTTACCTGAGAAGTGTATGGAATGATACACAAAACAGTCATTAAATTGAAGAACCTTTGGTCTGTAGCACTTCATGTACTGGAGTCTTCAAGCTGCAGCACAGCTAAGTATTTAATTATAGCAAATTCGGTACATAAAGGGCTGTACTGCCAACTTCTTCATCTTCTGAGTTTCAGCTTGGCCAGCTGCTGTGTCTATATCACTGTTCTGCTCTGAACAGATGCTTCTTGGTTCTTGCTGAGTGGGAGAACAAGCTTGTTTCCCTTTTCAGATCCTGCTGCCTCTTACGTTTTCAGCCCCCCAGAGAAGGACTTAAGCTACTAAGCAGCACATGGCAAGTACAAGAGGAGTAGCAGAGACCCACTGTGAACTGAGAATAGTCAAATGAACCAGTCACCCACACAGAAGCAATGAAACAAGGAAAGAAGGACTGGGAGAGACAGAGATGATCTTTCAACAGCATCTCAGTCTGATTCCTCAGATTGTTTGGTTGGTG